CAGTGCAACTCATTATATCCCAGTGAAACCACATGTCATAAAAAATTTGTAAAAATTTAAAAACAGAATCACTGAGTTGGGAAAAGGATCACCCCCTCCTAAAAATGACTTGTAAACTCAATCATGTGTAGCTAATCACCTTCTCAATATGCTATTCCTGAAATGAGACGCAATACCTCTTACGGCCACCAGATGTCTCACCTGTCAGCAGCAGGCGATGCCTAAGCAGCTTCCCAGACAGCAAAAGCAACACTGACACCTACAGGCCAAAATATGTAACTGAAAATAAAATGACAAATGTTGCACTTACAATGTACTTTGCGTGGGGCGAGGCAAGGGTCACTTTACTGTTGGCATGAGCAGAATGAAATGGGGACACAATAAGTTATGATTCTCTCCCCTAAGCTGTTGCTAAGCTTGTACAGTTGAAATTGGACTCCACCCTAACCAAATTAACCTCTTACAGTGATGTGGCCTTCCTCATTGCAGCAGACAAAAAACTAATATAAAGACATTGAAACAAGCCAGCTGCGCCTTTGACTTATAAATACATTTATATGAAAAACATGAAAGCTGAACTCCAGGCTCTGTAGTCATTAATACGCCATTAAATGTATTTTTTTTTTACGTGATAAAAGTTTATTGAGCATTTTAACATACAAAGGAAAAAAAAACCATAAGAGAAAATATACATTAACAAATTATGAGAACTATGAGGTGAGTGATTTTCACTCAACCTCATAGTTGGAGCCGACGTGTGACAATGAAACTGTCACACATCGGCTCAATAGATCGGGAAGTGAGCGAACGCATACCGTCGCTCGCTCACTTCTTGATCATCTCCCTGCAGAGAGCGGTGACTGTCACTCACGGCTCCCTGCAGGGATTCCCGCTCCGATCCTCCAGCGCTGACTGGCGGAACGGACAGCGGAGGGGGCGAAGACTGATCTCTTCCAGCCTCTCTTCAGCGGTCTAAGGTCCCTGAGTCATCATGTTTTATACACAATATATAAAGACATGAGGAAACCGAGAAACATACTATTGCTGCAGCGGAGGAGGAGACGAGCAGGAGGGATCACTGTCACAGCTGGCTCGGCTCTGAGAATCAGGTGAGTATAACTTTGCATTGCACTGCCCTTGCATTGTTCTGCTTCGACCACTTACCTACTGTCATATTGTTAAAAAAAAACAGTGCACTGTAGAGGTAGACACTCCTTTCTGGAATGCTGAAGGTGTATATAGAGGCCGGTACTCAAGCAGGTAAAGGAGAATTATGAGGTGAGTGCTTTTCACTCAGCCTCATAATCTGAGCCGACCTGTGACAATGAAACTGTCACCAGTAGATCGGGAAGTGAGCAAACACATACCGGCGCTCGCTCACTTCTCGATCTATCCGTGCAGGTGAGCTGTGACAGGGGAGTGACTGGATTCCCCCCTCCCCTGTCGGATCCTCCAGCGCTAACTAGCGGAACGGACGGGGGAGGGGGCAGGTACAGCTGGCTCTGCCTCTAGGTAGGCAGAGCCAGCTGTCAATCACGCAGCTTGGTGGATCTCGACAGTAATGCGGCGCTCTTAGTATACCGCAAGCTGTAGGTTACGGGAGGAGGTTAGTATATGTCCCATGACCCTTAGGAGAACTATGGGGTAAAACACTTACCCCATACATATATACATACATACATACATACATACATACAGGAGAACTTACATAGTTCTCCTTTAAGTCGTAAATAAGTGATTCAAACATCAAAATAAGTAATAGGCTGATCAGGAATCGGTTTATAAGAGCTCACGTTACGAGAATCAAAAAACAAGCCCACATTACTCATATCATACTGAAATGGTGAGCGCAATAGGACATGAGAATCATTGAGCGTAGAAGTTTTTTTAATGCAAGTGACCTGGTATAAGCCTCTTGCAGTCCTTGTACAGCAGGGCTGAATGTGAGAGGAAAAAGCAGCCAATCAATTCATGTGCTGACAAGGAACATGCTGATAGGAAGAGAAAGCAGAGTGACTGAGAGGTAAGCTCACCACTGTGTTGCTTCCCCTTTCACGTGCTGGGGTGGGTCCAAGAGGACCATGGCTCAGAGAAAGCAGGGTGAAAGATGCTAGCAATCAAATTTAGGACATCTAGTGGCAGAAAAAAGTACTGCGGGGAAAATCTCTAAACCAATAGTGAATTTTTGGCTGGTGTTCTGCTTTAAGAGAGCAAGGGACCTTCTTTACAGTACGTTGGCAGGGGGCAGGCTTTTCTACTCAGCTGTGACTGCTTTCTAATTAAAACAGATTGTAAGACTATTAATGTTTTGCGGTCTATTTATAAACAATGTGTCCTGCAAATATCTGCGAATGTTCGCTCTGTGCGAATTTAGGCCAAAACAAATTTTCTGAAGTGGAATCCATTTTTTGAATGTTTTCATGTAGTATCTTATTATGACCACTAGATGACACTAAAGGACATAAGTATTTGTTTTCTCTGCTCCTCAGCACCATCTAGTGACCATAGTGCGATATTGCATTAAAAACAAACACTCGAGAATACATTGCCTTGTAAAGAAACAACTAAAGAAAGTTCATTTTGGCATATATGCACACAGACAGGGCCGGACTTGCCACAAGGCCACCGAGGCCCGGCCTTGGGGCAGCAGGGAGTAGAGGGCCAGCACGGGTATGGAATTCCTATCTCCCGATGCCCAGGACATGTAGTTCCGGGCGCTGGGCGTGCAGTTTTTGTCTACATTCAGCCCTGCTTTGGGCAAGCAGGGCTAAATGTACAGCGGGGAAGCCGCCACTTGTTTTGTACAAGTGACCCCGGAGATGTCGTCGAGATCACTTGTATGCAACCTGTAGGTCTGTCCTTTCAGCCAGTTACCTCTCTCCCCACCACCCACTTCCCTCCCTTGGTAACTTTATTGCTATCACACAGGAGCTAAGTGAAAAAAAAATAAAAGAAAATAAATAAAAATTGACAAAGAGTAATAAAATAAATACAAACAAAAAACTAAGAAATAATAAATATAATGAAAAAAATATATAAAAAACAAAAAGGTAAAAGATAATAAGAAAAGGAGCACAGTCCAGCTCTGACTCTATCACTGCAATCACACCACTGAGCTCTGCAAACACTGCACATGTAACTCCCTTCTCCCCGTGTGCCAGGACTGAGCTTCTAATAATGAGTGTGTACAGGAAATGCAGATCTGCCCTAAAACCAAACAAGAGTCCAGCCCGGCATGGCTCATTGCACCGAGCGCCGCCAGGAGAAGACAACACTGCCGACATTCTCATACACGGTCTACAGCGAGTGATATCTAGTGGCATTGCCTGCTGAGATCAGACCACAGACCGTACAGGTAACCTGTCTTCCTGACCTTTGTCAGACTTTTTCTACTGCCAGCTTCTTGAAGGCACGGTCCACCCAAAACTCTGATTTTTGATGAGTTAAAGTCTATGTATAAACATTTGTTTATGGATAAAGTAGTGAACCCCTGTCAGGATAATCGATGCTGCGTGTGTCCTTTGGGGACTATTACCTTCCCATCATGTCCCAGAGACTTAAAGCTGAACTCCGGGATAATCAAATATTGTCTGCATACAAGAGTCATGTGTATTCTCCTTTGAATGTTGATGAGCTTTGTGTATTTCTTCTGTGCAGTAATCCAGTGTGACACTTTCCCTCTGTGCAGGCGCTTCCTGTAATAAAGACCGGTCACTGCTGCTTTCTCAACTTGTGCAGAGTGACTGGTCTTGTCTCCGCCCCCTACTGTAGTTTTCAGCAGGCAGCCTGTAGTAGGTGGAGCTTATGGGCCCCTCCCACAAGTCTGCATAGTACCTGGTACAGGATGGTCAAGAACCAGTGGCATTGAAACAGGGCCATTTCTATAAGGAGGTAGCCTGAGTCGGTTGCACCAGGCGGCATCTCACTGGGGGGTGGCCGGATGATGGTGGGGTTGGCAGAGGGGTGACCACAGTGTCCCAGGATGCTCTTAGAAACCTGTGACGCTTTGTGCGGCTTCCTGCCCAGCTCACTGTCAACCAGTGATGTCAGTGAGCTGGACAGAACGCAGAACAGACCTGCTAACAGCGCAGTCCTGCGTCCGCCCCCCATGATAACTAAGCACAACCACTTCCCCTCTAGTCCAGTGGATTGCCTCAGGCAGTGAATACCTTAGGGAGAGCCCCGCATCGAAGATTACTATATGTAAGTCACCCTTCACATCTGTGCACCAGGGGAATACGTATGAAATCATGCGCATTCCTGGAGCGCTCACAAATGCATGCTGAAGTTCCATTGCAGTGTCATTCATTCTTAATGGCACCCCAACGCATCTTGCTAACACGTACGTTTTGGTGCAGTGTATTTTAAAAAAGGTCCCCCCCAAAGATGCTCAAATGAATAGGCTGCCCTAACGTAATGCTAGCTGTCGAATGTAAAACACATCAATGCATGCACACTGTCGCACTGGCATAGGTGTGAACCAGGGCTACGGGGCTGATGTACAAAACTTTCACCCAGAATAAAGCTGTGCAAATGGCGTTCACATGTCATTACTGCCACTAGATGGAGCCGGGAGCCTAGGAAATGCTCCTCGGCTCCACCTGGTGGCCGCAGTGCTGTGCGAATGACATTCACCCAGCTATACACTGGGCGGAAGTTTTATACATCAGCATACCTATGGCGCAAATAATGTGCAGGGGAATGTTTCCATCATTAAAAAGAATACATTCATTTGAAAAGGTTGTAGCATTTAATATTATTTTATTAAAGAAAATGCCAATTATTTATGATGTACAGTCACAATTTGCTTGATCGGTCTTATTTGTTGGAAAACCTCAAAAAGATTGCAGGATCCTATTATACAATGTTGTATTCCAGTGTCACAATGTCACTCTCCTCCCACTCGAATCTTGTTACCGGTTATGCTCCAACATCTTGATTTTCTTGTTTTCCTTCTTGACTTTCAGAAGAAAAAAAAAAACAAACCCCAGTAGACAGCAGACATGTCCGACGGAAGTGTCATAATGGTGAGTAACAGTCGTCTATAATTCTATATTCATCTTTAGGAATTCTTCTTTCCTTCTTTTCTTTTGTTCTACAATGTAACAGTTCATCTGAGATCCCCATTGGATGGCAGGCCTGGTAAAGTGTCAGATTGAAGCTTTATCTGCTCTTAGCTGAAAGTTGGCAGTGTGCAAAAGCTTAGGTGTATCTCCCATTCCCCCAGCTAACAATGGTCGGTCATTTAGGAGGCCCATGACCAATCACCCCCTCTCCCCATGCTTCATGATTTACTTTCTTTTTCAGTATTCTGTCATCCTTACCCTATCTTCACCAATGGTTGCCCCCGGCTCCTGACAGATTCCCTTTTAAATGAGAGGGAAACAAAGGCTTCCAATTTTGATCGCGTTTTGAAAATGCTTTTGCCTGCTTCGCATTCCTGATCAGTATCCCCATCATTGGTCAATGACTTCAAATATTGAAACCACTGGATTAGCATGGCAGTCAGGTACATAGTATTTTTTTAAAGGAGAAAGCAGCCTGCGTATTGCTCAGCACAGGTTTCCATAAAAGCTTTTTGTAGTCTTTATCTTGTTGGATACTGTAGTTCTTTATTTGACCGTTCAATGTTACTGTTCAAAAAATACTTTGTATGAACGGATCAATTGATATGTAAACAGAATTGTCGAATGAGCTTCTGTAGGTTATGTCTAAACATCTGACTATGAATTTCTGGTACTTACGTATCTTCATAATGTCAGATTTGACCGTTACCAATTTCATCCCCCCGTAATCTGCACAGGTGTCAGCTGGCCGGATTGAGGGCCCTGTCACACCATGTCCGGACCAGATCTGCATGCGTTTCTGCAAACGCGGTGCAGTGTGTTTGTGATTTGTTCCAGTGCGTTTTCTTTTGTTTTTTGGGGGTAATTTCATTATGCAAATTAATCTCTTCCTGCTCCATGTCATAGCTTCTGTTGCGTTCCCATGCGGTGCGTTTATGACACGTTTGTGACGCAATCGGGTGTGACATGCAGAATTTTTTTTTCCTGCACTGCAATGAACTGGACTGGTGTGAACAGAGCCCAAAAATAACATACAAATGCATTGGGATGCATTTTTGGTGGGGAAGAAAAATGTAACGTACCGCATCTGATCCGGACATGGTGTGAATGGGCCCTTATAGGGATTGCTGTGCTTCAAGTCCCTGGTGTCCACAGGAATTTAGTAATTACTGTTCAACCCTCAGGCCACTAACTTTGGGACTGGGCCGTTGCATGATGCCTCTAGATCTTGGGGCTCTACCAAGAAGACCTTGAGGCCTGCATCAAGGTGAATAGTCCTCTTCCTTCCCCATCAGGAACTGTAAGGGAGAATACTTTTTCTGAAGAGGAATGTACCAGGGCTCTTTCTACAGATGATCGCTATTAGGTTGCTCCAGACCTCTGGTGGCCTGGGGCTCCCTGACTTTTCCTTGTATTATAAAGCCACAGCACATCAGAGGATTTATATTTGGCATTGCCATGCCAGGCAGAGGCTATGGGTATCCATTGAAAAATCCATGGCAGGCAGAAATCTAATGAACACCCCATAGCTTCCATGGGACCTTTGTGACCTTTTAGACAGCCTCACGCCTAACCATGCACACACTACCATCATGTGGCATAATCAACAGTAATGGCTTCTTTGCCCCACACATATCCACCCTATTCTCCATTGGGGATGTTCTTGGTTTCCTCCTGTGGAAAACCTCTTGTTCTTTAAATACAAGTCAGCAGGCGGTGACACATGCTGCAAATTCCTTAAGGATTGTAAATTGGCTCCTTTGCTCTGAGGGAACATCATGGGAGATTCTATTCTATCCTATTTCCTCCCTCACCTCGCTCAAAGGCTATGTACAACATCTACTCCTCCTTCTAGGACTGTATCCCTGATATACACCCTGAACCCAAGGGGTGCTTACCATTAGAAAGACTGTAGCCTTTGCAGAACCACAATTACTCCATAATGTTAAAACACACCTCCTCAATAGACTCCAAGATGCAGGAAACCTGCTATCAACTCCTAACCCAGTGGTATAGGTTTCCTCTTGATTGGCTACCATTTTCGTAACCCTATCTGCACTGTGCTGAGGAGACATCTGTTGGGATTGCCCCAAGATCTGGCCTTTCTGGCAAGACATTAGATTACAGATTACATTTATCATGGACATAGACTTGCCAGATGCCCTGGGCCCATTTTTACTACATCTGCCCTCAATGCCTACCAAGCGCAAAACAAAGAATTTTGCCACACCTGCGGAATGTCACTAACCACCTCATCCCTCTTTTTGGAAGGTCCAATCTAGGGATGATTGGATCAGATATGAAGGCAGAACAATGGGTGGCAGCATATAAAGAGCAATATGGTCAATTCTATTGCACATGAGCCAGCTGGCTTCATTACAGCTCCTCCCTGACCCTGGGACCCCCTGCTGTGGATAGCACTTGATTCCCAGAAACTGTGGAGAACATGCATGCTTCCTATAAGGTCTGGCCCATTTATTTTAGACATATTGTAACTTACCTACTCGAAGCAGGGAGGGTTTCCATCTACTGCATAAGATCCTCTCTATTTCAAGCTGATCTATACCATCTTGTTCTCGGTTTTACAATCTCTGGACAATCTCCTTTAGATGTACCTAAACTATGTAGTATGAGGTAAATACTAAACAATCCATTCCATTTGGCTAGTCCCTTGCACTACATAGCTGATGGCAGATCTAAAGAAGATTGCACAATCAGCTTGTATCGTGTATGGTCAACTTAAGAAAGAAATATATATTTTTGCTTTTTAAACTTAGTGACCTATAATAATGAAATATATTTACCTCCTTCTCCGTGTCTGTGTGCATTTTCCTGACAGAAGGAAATTGATCTGACAGATGTGGAGAAGAAGAGGCTGCCTAGAAGGATAATCCATTTTGCGAGTGGAGAGACCATGGAGGAGTACAGCACCGAGGAAGAAGAAGCAGAAGAGGAGGAAGATCAGAGAGTCGACTTTCGAAATGTGGACACGGTATTGATATTGATTCAATCTGATCCTTTATGTGTTTCACACCCAAGTCTGCTTGACCCCTTCTTGCCGGCCATATGCATATATGTGGCAGCATGGAGGTGGGCCACATCAATGCGTACAGTTTCCCAATTTCTGTCCAGAGCACACTCATTTCTGCACCCCCAGTAGTGGAGCTGTTCTCACACTAATTGCTCCTGGCTGCAGGGTAACAATCAGAAGCCCAGGTTAGGCTAATTGGCTATCACACATGTGATTTGCTAACACAGTGGTCACATAATTGGGACGCCCATGAAATGCCTCTTCGGCAAAAACCTGGCCTCTTTGTGGTAGACAATAGTGATTGGTTGTCTAGTAAAAATCTAGCCCGGCTGAATGACTAGTATGATCAGGAATGTCCTACAATTGTTACCTAACTGGACCATAACTGGCCGCATTAGGATAACATTTTCTTGTGCCTGTAGGCACCTAAAGGCCACTTCCACTCATTCTCTGTAATATAAAAATAAAACATCCAGCAGGGAGGGTGGGAGCCACTCATAATGAGTACAGCAGGAGTACAGACCCAGGAACTCAGTGCAGGGATGGTGGGAGCTCCTCATAATAGGTACAGCAGGTGTACAGACCCAGGAACTAAGCGTAGGGATGGTGGGAGCCACTCATAATCGGTACAGCAGGTGTACAGATCTGGGAACTCAGTGTAGGAATGGTAGGATATCCTCATAATGAGCACAGCATGTGTACAGACCCAGGAACTCAGTGCAGGGATGGTGGGAGCTCCTGATAATGGGTACAGCAGATGTACAGACCCAGGAACTCAGTGCAGGGATGGTGGGAGCTCCTCATAATGGGAACAGCAGGTGTACAGACCTAGAAGCTCAGCACAGAGGTGCTGATTTTATTCCCTAGCATCTACAAAAAAAATGGAAATATCAGATGGAGGACTCTTTGTGTGTTCTCAAGGAAAACACTCTATTATCAGATCGTCTCCCTGACTAATATTTACAACCGCCTCTGCTTAGACCCGGCACCACTGAAAGACAAAGATTTCCGGGAGCTCTTCTTTCAAGCAGTGACAATTTTCTTGTTATTTTTTTCGGCAGACAAAGATGAGTTGGATCACATACATACAGTTCTGGATAGTTCGGGTTGCAACCTCCGCCTTTTTCAGTGAGTAACAAGATGAACTATTAACATTATGCCTCTCCAATCACAAGGGACAAAGGAGATTGTGATTACAAGGGACATGCTGATAGAAGGAGAGAGCAGTGTGACATGCTCATCAGTCTGCTGCTTCTCCTTTGATTGTTCAATCACATTTTGGCGGAGGGACAAGACCTGTAAATTGTTACTTTAGCTGAGAAATATCAGGTCTGTGCTGCCCTGCCAGATAAAGCTGTGTAAATCCCAGGAAGAGATGTCCAGAAATAGAAATCCTATGAAAAGACTGCTCCAATATAGGCATTTCACCTGAATTGATTGGCGTTCAGCTTTAAGAGATCAAAAAAACAGGCAATTAAATAGTGAACGCATGACCCTTTCCAATAGAACAGGGGTATGCAAACTCCGGCCCTTCAGCTGTGTTTGCAACTACAAATCCCATTAAGCATTGCAAGACTCTGACAGCCAAAAGCATGGCTTGCAGAGGCAGATGCATTATGGGGTTTGTAGTTTCACTACAGCTGGAGGGCCCGAGCTTGCCTACCCCTCCACTAGAAGGTTATCAGCATTTTTTAACTGCTGCAGATTGCTTGTTAATAGCGGGGAACTGGAGCTAAATTGTGCCCCAGAAATGGTTAGTTCTGATGTATGGCATACTACATATTTCCTGCGAATGCAATGGATATTACATTCTGTTCTTCCTGTGGAGTGTAAAGGTGCCCATACACTCTACAACCCTCGCAAGACTTTTGTCTTGCGAGGGTTGTAAAGTACTTAAGAAAACGTACGATCTGCCCATCTTGGACAGGCAGATCGTACTTGCGATCATCGCAAGCCCACCCCCCTGAGGGGCGGGCTTCCGATGACGGCAATGCTGAATGGGCAGTGTGCGCATGCGCACACCGGCCCGTTCGGCAGTCATCTCTCGATCATGTTGAAAACCAGCCGAAATCCGTACGATTCTCGGCTGGTTTTCCAACATGCTTGATATACAAAAGTCGTGCGACCGTACATTAGAAACGGTCGCACGCCTTCCATACACTGCACGATCGCAGGATTTCCGGCGATTCTCATACGAGAATCATGCAGTGTATGGGCACCTTTAGGCCTTCTGCAGCCTGTTTCTACAACTGTTTTAAATTATCCCTCCAACTCGTGTCCTCCTAAGGAAACCTGAAATGAGTGGGATTTACATTGTATGTAATAACATTTGATCATCTGCTGGGTTCGGCAACCCATCGATCGCCATTTACCAGTAGGTCGCCATTGGCTGTTGTTTAGCCCTCATCAACATGGGGTTTGTAACGGCAATTAAAAAAAGCCTGTGTGTAATTAATGGCTATCTTTTGTGTTGTGTCTTGCAGCATGCGATTTCCTGGGAGGAAAACTAGCAAACCTCTTTGGACTGAATACTCCCAAATATCAGTACGCAATTGACGAATACCAAAGGGCACAGGAACAGGTAAAATGATAAATACATCCCCTAAGCATAAGTATTGGAAGTGTTTTAGGTGGCAAAAGATTAGTAAATGACTGCATATATCTTCATGCTGCTGAACCTGTACTTGCTGTGTTATATGACTGCACAGTATATGCAGCGTGACCATACTTTCCATTACCTGAAGTCCTGCAGGATCATTGCTACTGCTCCACCATGTGCTTGATCATTAGACTGCATCACTAGACTGGCAAAGCCAACCTTGAGTTCCCCTTTCTCAATAAACCAACTTGAGGACCACCCTCTCCCTCCTATTTTTAAAAAATATATCATTGCCTTTTTCTTTTTTTTTCTTTTGCAAACGTTCATCAAGTTAAGTTTTAAACTGACATAAAAGTTAGGAAAGCATCCCTGGTTTGCAGCTGTGGGGTACTCCGGGTACCTGCACAAAACTCTAGTTGTCCTATTGGACATACTGGTATGCTAGGGCGTTCTGCTAGGCAAATTTTGACTGATTTTCAGGATAGGAAGAATGGCTCTCCACTGAAGCTGGCCATACACCTATATGGATAGAGGAATGGAGATTCCTCCACCCACACAGTGTAACATAGATGGAGGAATCTGTTGCACATTTTCCATCTGACCATAGAAATCTATAGGTGTATGGCCAGCTTTATACTTCCTGTGTCTCATAATTGCCTAGCTTGGCTACCCATCACAATGATGGGGCACTGGGAAAGCTCAGGTTGTGTAATCAACAGAAATGCTTAAAGCAGGGGTAGCCAAACTCCGCCCCTTTATGTACAACATTTGTTTTCATTAAACAAGGCATCTTATACATGGTTTCTTAATGGGATTGTTTGGTGGTTTTGTATATTTTTTTCTTCATATGCTGTAATATGGTCAGGGTTAAAAAATGAATTTGAAAATATCTTTGCAAGAGTCAGGTAAATATCGATTATTGCATACAAATATTTTGTAGTTTTATTTCCAGCCAGCAGACGGGGCTTTTTTAAAGCTCAATAACGCAAATAAATCAGAGAAGTGACTCCAACCTCCTCCACCCTCACCCTGTTTACCTATTAAGACAAGTTCTGTCTGAGGTTTCTGGATTGAGAAAGCTGGTTGGATGACCAGTGAAACGTCTTCAAGAAAAATACAGCAAGTCCAGTTGCCTTGATTTTTTTTTTTTTTTTACAGAATTGCCTGAGGTTTAATTCAAAGAGAGTGAAGCAACTTTTCTCCTCCTGTATTTGTTTAAACTTTGTTTATTTGAATGGCATGCCTTGGATTCCCAAAGCAAGCAGAGCATAAAGCGCATTTGTAAAGTACATCCCTTTGCCTAAAGCGGACCTTTAAAATAACAACAAACACACCTTTAGAAATGTTTAGTAATGACAATCTACACACACATACTTCTAGATAATTGTCGGCTTTCTAGTCTTTGCATATCTTATTTCTCTTTTCTTCCCCAGTCTTCTGACAGTGGCCATGTTAACTAAGGGCAGATTACTAGCTCTCCATTTACTTCCTGAAAATCTGGCACATGACTAGACATGTGACCATGCATAGCATGCCTTTCCCTGAGATCTCCTGAGATTACAGATGAGATTTCCCAGCAATGCTCTGCTGATGAGAAGGCAATCCCAGTGGGCATTGCTTTGGCAAACTGAAGCCCTTTCAAATCAGGATGCATTGGTAGAATAAGATTTTGTTAGTGTAAAGGTCCACTTTAAGAAATGTGCATTTGAATTATTTTTTAAGCAGCGTTATGGCCATGCTTAGGTCATGTTGCTGCTTAATATCTGGGCCTCTAGTCTTCCCGGCAACCTCCATCACATTGGATGATCAGAGATAACATATTAGGCCTTCAGTTGCCATGAAGGAGAAATGTTTTTCAGACCCATCTCTTCATGTCTAGCCAGCTTTTCTCCTTCCTATAAAGCTAGTTAGTTGCTGGGTGTCCACCATATATCTAGAGGCTCGGGCTGATAATTATTTGGAGACACAGTTGTCGAATTCTCTAAATATACCTTTCTCTATTCAGGACAGCGATGAAGAAGATGCCGGTGCTTATATTGAAGAAACTGGAGAAGAAAATATCCTGACTGAGAAGGATCACTTACAGATGCAGAGCATTGAATATGGAACCATTCAAGGTCAGGAGACATCACTGGACTCAGAAGACAAGTATCATCTATCCTCTGAGACCACTGAATCCAACACTAGTCCAAATGAGAAATAGCCGGGGGTTCTTCCTAATGTGCACACAAACTCAAAACTAAGTTGCAGTCACAAATGGATTTAGGTAAAAAGTAGGATAATGGTCTACGGGTAGGTTGGTGGCTACCAAAGCTGGAGATAGACCTTCAAGAATCCTGGTGGCCAACCTGAGTGTACCGTGTGAAGGATACACTTTAAAAGCTGTAGCATTTATTTAAAGACGTAGAAGAATGAACAATGTAGAATGGAACAAGAAGAACCCCTGCAAAGAGACAAGATGTCTGCAAAGGGCAACTGTTAACAATTCCCACTGCTAACCATGTTTTTTTCTGTCACAGTATTGCTGTGAGAGTAGCTCATAGCTTAAATGATAGAAACAGATGACTAGAACGATGTAACGATGTCCTGCTCGTTCTAACTTTCTGACCACTGCATGAGTGATTGAGTGGTAGGTGAAAATATCTAATGAAAGGGGATGTGGGGAGCCATGTTAGGTCCTTCAGGGCCACAAGTGAAAAGCTGCAGGTAGCCTAAGTCTTGGTTAATGTTCAAGAAACTGAATGTACTGGAACCACTAGCAGCCCTGAAACAGTATATTATTCATTTCTGCTTAACGATTAGTGCTACATGCAATGTTAAAAAATTCAGTGTACATTTTGTTATTTAAAGGGACTCTTTAACTTTGCCCATTAAGGCTTTTACTAGCCCACCCCCCGACTCGCATAGATCCACCTTACCTGCTCTAGTTCCCCTCTGTTCCGCCAGGAGGCAAACCCTGTGTAAGCTCCGCATAGTGTCAGAACTTACGCAGGGTTGAAAACATCCTCCCCCCTTGTCAGGTGACAGTGTTTGGGTATGGCGATTGGTTCCACAGGCTTGCGCTCATGCTCCCCCCATACCCAGAAGCATAGGGCATTTGCAGTAACTTTGACAGATTGGTAGGGGAGTGTGGCAAAGATGAGTATAAGTGGGTCATGGGGTGGGCTAGTAATAAAGGGCAACGGGACAGAGTCTCTTTAATTAAATGAGATGTTATAGTTAACCTGCAGATGTATCCATGTATGTCTTGATCATTTCAGTATTTAAAACTTCCACTTCCTGTACTTCCTGAGCGCCCTTTTATTTTTTTTCCATTTTGTCCTGCATGGTTATGGGTAGCCAGCTCAGGAGGCTTGTCGTCCATTCTGCCTTCATTTCTGAGAGTTTGGGGGTGATTTACTAACCTAAACACACGCACGCACTAGGTGCGTGTGATTTTTACACAGCAAAACGTATTTATCAACCAAAAAGTCTCTAAAAGCATATTTCCACTAATGCCATATATGGAAAAATCATGCACATGATGCATATATAATGCTGCTTCACAGTTTAGACAAAAATGGTTAGCTCATGCATTTACATTCCTGCATTCATCAACGCAAGCAACACAACGTAGAGCTAATTTACACAACATCACCTTGCAATTCATGCAGGGCTTTGCACAACACACCTGCTGGGTGTGTACACACTACAAAGGTGTTTAGATTCCACCCATAGATCATGCTGGGAGGGAACACACTACAGAGGTGTATACATGTTACGTGTGTATAAGGTTAGTAAATCAACCCCTTTATCTGCATAAATACTTACCTGCTCATTATGTTAAATCACGCAAGCAATACATCAGGATTGCAGATCTTTGTTGATGACTTCGACCAGTCCCATTGTAAGGGATGGAATGGATAAATAGTTACAGATAGTAACACTGAGGAATGGGTCCTTGGTGTGTAATTCATATAGTATTTCCTCATTGCAGCTTAATCTTTTTAACTCTTTATTCAACTCAAATAGTTGTACATAATTATAAAATTGTATGAGTATGTACACATAAGCTGGCCATACACCTTTAAGCAGGAGTGCCCACAATTTTCTGTCTTGAGACCGACATTTCAAATGACGAGCTCCATGAGATCTACCAATGAAAAAAAAACACCTTTTATTTTTTTTAAAAAGCACATTAAAATCGTTACTGGGACTACTGCCTCTCTCCTCGCGCGCTCTCTCTCCTCGCGCGCTCTCTCTCCTCGCGCGCTCTCTCTCCTCGCGCGCTCTCTCTCCTCGCGCGCTCTCTCTCCTCGCGCGCTCTCTCTCCTCGCGCGCTCTCTCTCCTCGCGCGC